TAATGCATGAGGTAGTGCATTTTCTTTTCCAATAAAGTGAACAATGTTACATTAAATGGTTGAATTAATAAGCTCCATCAAATCAAACTCACATTTTGAGTCTTCAATGTCTCAACAAAGGCTAAAGGATTATGGTCAATGTATATTATTATTTCTTTGTAACCACAATGGACATATGCTCTTCAAGATTTTGAAGCCTATAATAATCCTAAAGTCTCCTTTTCACTGTAGAGTACTTCCTCTATTTTTGGTTTAATAGCAAAATACCCCAGTTGCTTCTCTGTACCTGTTTCATCATCCTGCAGTAAGACTGCACCTATCCCCATATCACTTGCTCTAAATTTCCATTTTAGACACTTCATAAATTCAGAAGTGGCCAATGCCTGCACACTTATTAAAATTGCTTTCAGCATCTCAAAGCTGCTTGGCATTCGGACCACCTTTGTTTGTTTTCACAGCAAATCTGTTAAGGACACAGATATTGTGCTGAAGTTAGGCACAAATTTCTGATAAAACTCACACATCGCCAGAAATCTCATGATTTTCTATTTAGTTTTAGGAACAGAGCTTACAACCAGAGCCATCATAGAATCACACAGCTGAACCTTCAGTCCAATTTGTCCATGCCAACCAGATATCCTAAACTGACCTAGTCCCATTTGCTTGCATTTGACCCATATTCCTCTAAACCCTTCCTATTCATGTACCCGTCCAGATGCCTTTTAAATATTGTAACTGTACCTGCCTCCACCACTTCCTCTGGCAGCTCATTCCATACATGCACCACCCTCTGCCCCTCAGGTCCCTTTTAAATCTTTCTCTTCTCACCTTAAACCTATGCCCTCTAGTTTTCGGCTTCCCTACCCTGGAAAAAAACATCTTAGCTATTGATTCTATTCATGGCCCTTATGATTTTATAAACCTCTATAAGGTCACCCCACAGCCGCTGATGCTCCAAGGGGAAAGGAAAGCCGCATCCTATTCATCCTTACCCCATAGCGCAAACCTTCCAATCCCGGCAACATCCTTGTAAATCTTTTCTGAACCCTTTCAAGTTTTACAACATCTTTCCTGTAGCAGGGAGACCAGAATTGAACACAGTATTCTAAAAGTGGCCTAACCAATGTCCTATACAGCCACAACATGACGTTCTAACTTCTATACTCAATGCGCTGACCAATGAAGGCAAATGCCTTCTTCATTACCCTGTCGATCTGCCATTCTACTTTCAAAGGAACTATGCACCTGCACCTCTAGGTCTCTGTTTGGCAACACTCCCAGGGCCTTACCAAGAGTCCTGTCCCGATTTGCCTTACGAAAATGCAACACGTCACATTTATCTAAATTAAACTCCATCTGACACTCCTTGGCCCACTGGCCCAATTGATCACGATCTCTTTGTAATCTTAGATAACCTTCTTCACTCTCCACGACACCACCAATTTTGGTGTCATCTGTAAACTTACAAGCCACACCTCCTATATTCACATCAAAATCATCTATATAAATGACGAAATGCAGTGGATCTAGCACTGATCCTTCATTTGTTGGTCTTAGCAACACATGCCCATCCCCTATGTAGTGTCCTAGGTAAGCTATCCTAAATTATGTGAGTTGACTCTTGGCAAGATTTAGGACTATACCAGCTAACTGTAATGTTGAAATAGGTCTTGCTTTACATGTTCTTCCCAGATGTTAAAATGCTTACATTATTAATATCATGTAAATAATACAGTTAAGCACTTCAGCTATAACTCAATTCATAAATCTTTAGATTGTAGCTGAAATGTTAATTCAATCTGATCAGTATTTCACGACGATGAATACAATAGGTGGACACTTTTGTAAATTTTATCTGTCATCTAAAAGATAACTGAAAGCTGTCATAACATAAGATAGCAGTCATAACTTTCTTTCCATTACAAGAGAAGCATCTGGAATAGGTTACGTGACAAAGGATCCATCTCTGCTGATTCTATCCTTCAATATTCAACATAGATCTCAGAGATAGTTCATGCGTGGATTATAAACAACTACTCTAATGCAGAATTAACAACTTGGCAATATCAGCAAATATTAATTTAATTACTTTCTTTTTTGTAAGAGATATGTTATAACATGTAAGGTTGGAATCTTACAGGGCTCTGAACCACCTGGGCTACAGTGCAAAATCCTGGAAAATCATGCGAGAAGTCAACACAAATCTATCTTGACATTGAGAGCAGCTAGCTGCATTTTCCAACAGAGTTCAGGTTGTTGAGATATGACTTTCAGCAGAGAATGGTGAAATGCCTATTAACAGGGATTACTGCTTGCTATCACTGTCATTAAATGCAAATTTTGCCTCATTAATATGTAACTTTTGATTGTACCACAGCACATAGACAAACCAGATACCAAGATGTCCAGACATGAAAGTCAAAGCAGGCAGCACGTGACTCCAGCTCCCTGCTTGCTCCTCCGGACTGCCACCCTCAAAGCAGGCTTGAAGGGCCAAATGGCCTATCACTGTTCCTTGTTTCTGTGTGTCCATCCTGGACATCCAGATCCAACATTTCAGAGCACATTCCAGGAAAGTGGCCATGCATATCCCACGCTTATGGACACTGTCAGCATCTCCTTGGCATTATGGCTAAACCATATACCATCTGCATACACACTTCAATACTGCACTTTGGAGCAGACAGGCTACTATCATTGGAATGCTATAGCAATGACACTTTGCACGCAAGGACTGGTACCCAGCTCACAGACTGGACCAGGCTGCATCTCAAGGCTGCTCACTCAGTGTTTTAGTGCTTACTTAGCACCTTTTTACAGTTTTCCCCTCAGCCACAATTCAGAGTGCAGTACTGCTTGATTGCCTTGCTGTTTAATACAATGCCAGACAGTTTATCATGCTGCTCAGTGATGATTATTTTGTTGTACACAGTGCATTTCTGTCTCAATCTCTCACCGATGCCATGTGCCAGCTTACTCAGAAAACACACAGCCATTTGCTTGTAGCACATACAATATCTCAGAATCTAGGAGGATTGCCAGTGAAGTCCTGACAGACACCCGTCAATCAGTCAATAGGGTCCTGGTTCACTAGTCAAGGACAGCCTTTGACATCAGTCAGGGGTTTGAACATAGTCGTGCAGTTATTTCGATGGTCAGGATCAGGAGCTTTGCCTCATGGGGGACAGCAGCAGAAAGTTGGGTAAAGCCAACTATCCTCTTGTCAGTTGTTTTCTCTTCGATGGGGAGAAAGGGAGGAATGGAACTGGATGAAAGCAGGTAGCACAGCCATTCATGCTAGAGCAGGTAAAGGAAAAGAGGTAAGGTGTCCTGAGTCATTAAATAAGCACACAAAGGCCATACAGGTCTTGTAGTGTGGGGGATAAAGTTGGTAAGAGGGGCTAAGGCAAGATGCTGTAGGCAATAGTGAGAGTGGTAGAGCAAGAGACTTGGTAGGAGGTGGGTGTAGTAGGAGAGGTGAAGTGATTGCGAATTAGTAGAGTGAAGGTAGTGACACTTACCCTGGTGGAGCAAACAAGTTCATTGACTTCCTTCCTACACTGTTGGGCTTTCTTCCAGATGACTGAAATTGCAATGACCTTGGGTCAGACTGGCTTCTTCTGGTGTTGTGGCCTCCTCAGGCAGTCCTTGGGGAAGAGGCTGTCTCTCCTCTGCAACCCCCAAAACCCTCTTCCCATAAGGAACTCCAGGTCCCTGTTTGCAAAATGGAGCACCAATCTTTTTCTTGGTTGCCATATCTGGGGCAAATATCATAAACCATGCAGGGCGACTCTGGATTGACAGTGCTTGACTGGATGGATAATGACTTTTTAAAAAGAGGCACTGGCACCAAGGCTCCTGGGGTGTCCCAGTAGTGTCAAGTACTTCTGGCTATGGCTAACAGGGCTAGCATCAGCCAACAGGAGCACCACAGGGGCTTGGTAGGTTGTCAACAGGGTGAGTTTGGGAAAATCGTGTTAGAAAATACACTAAGCCTCTATGACAGTTGATAAAACTTATGCTGAGCCAAGATATTATAAAATTAAGCTCTAGGTGTCAAAACATTGAACCACAATACTCTGAGATAACAAGGTGTAGAGCTGGATGAACACAGCAGG